TCACAAATTAAAATGTAATAAGGGACAACGATGTAATCATGAAAGTCAGGCATGATATGATAGTGGTCATTGTAAAAGCGAATATGAAAACTTGAGGTATCCTTTCAGCACGTTGAGTCACCATGAAAAATCACCTACAGTTCTACATTCCCGTCCTAGGTGGCCTCTATCCAGCGCAGTTGAAACTATCACAAAACACACGTGTCATCGTGGCTCAGAGGTTGCATCCGCCACCTCTAAGCATTCGCATCACTCTTTCGCACTACTCAATCTACATACATCTGCTCGTGGGTATTGAATTGCTTATTTTAGACTGTTTGATGGTTTCGTTTTCATTCGCGTTCCTTTTCCACGACTTCTTTAGTATTTCTCTGGATACTGAATGGCGTTGAGACACAGTGGTATGCAAACCACCCATCTGTATATGTTTAAGTGCGTGATTTCTGTGCCCATTCCTTGAGAACTGACGTCATCAACCACTCTTTAGTTTGCTCCTTCACTGAAATGACTTGCTACGCAATACCATCTTATTGCCACACCGATTGCCGTGTTCTTTGTTTCCCAATCGAACGGTATTTTTAAAGACTCACGATAAACGCCTCTGGAAGTTAGTCCAAGTGCTTAGGCTAAATGGTTAATTTTTCTGTTAGCAGATACCACCTCTTGATCAGTTACACCACTTTTCATCTTCTCATGTCTTGTTCTCATGAGCATTGATCTCTCTGTAACTCTTTTTGCTACAATTCATCCGTCTAAGACTAACGTGGCTTCGTTGGTTTAGACGTTTATCGTGTTCTTGTTTTCCCAGTCTTTGAGACACGTCTTTAACTTCCTCCAATATCCATGAAATAGCGACGGATTCAATAGCAGGAAGATATTCTTCCATTGCAATGTCTGACTGCTCTACTGTCCGAATTCGGGCTTTCATTGAAGTCTCGATTCCCCTCAGTCCTCATTAGCATTATCATGTGAATGCCGGTGTCGAGAGCGCACAAAACCGCTCCTTCTGCATACTTTTACTGTTCTTGATTTTTTGTTGTCAAAGTCTCGAGCCGGAATCGTAGCTTCTCAGCTAGGTAACTCGAATCCAGATGACCACCGGATGCTTTTATAGGCCTGGTGATATATTAGACTCAAGTAGCTGTGAATCGATAGTCGCCACCTGAAGTGCCTGGTTATTTTTTAGTCACTCTTTAGTGTTATCTTTTTGAGTAAGTATTCTGCGTCGGTGAAGCATTTTGTGATAACCCGTGGGACATGTCACGATTATGCTGTACTGCTTTCCGGATGTCAAGAAAACCAAAGAGTTCGCTTAACTTTCTCGCGTTCGCAAACAACTGCACTGATGGAATGTGGTCACTTAATGGATTCTGAAGATAATCGGTAGAGTACCATTTGTATACTCACGACAGCTACCTCTTACTGCTCTCTTAGTTTGTTCCACCGATCATCGATATCCTTGAAGCCCTGCTAGTTCTCGCACTAACGCCTTATTTTTGTCACAGGGTCCTCATATTCTGTTCTTATTGATACCACAGGTTAGCGGGATGTACACATATTACTTCTCTCCATTATATAACTGGTCATTGGTACACTCCCGGCCTCATATCCTTTAACCACCCTCACTTGATGTAAACTAAGGCCAACCGTGATCTTCGAAAGCCTACCCGGGTCCCGATGGACAAAGATTTTATTCAATAGTCGCTAATGTATCCACTGATGACTTTTAACTTTCAAGTACAGTGGCCCACGAGCCCGATGATAAATTGGCTATTGAGCGATTGGAGTTCATAAGATTTAGTGCGTTGTGACATTGATACTCGCTTTCCTAACCTGTACATACCCTCATCGGAGTGCCTTGCTACTCGTTCGTTTACCTACCGCTCTACGGCTGTAGCTATGGAACACCGTATGGGTCAGCTGCGATTGCTGCTCGTGCATCGCGGATTTTAGAATTACCGTGTGCTGGATTACTGTGTTATACGTGCTTTTTTCTGTGTGAATTGTGCACCAATATTTTTCTTTTGGTGTATTTTTCAATCTGCAAATTTGGTGAATGTTCTTGGGTTAATTTCGGAGATCTCAATTGATTGGCTCAACTGCCGTCTGTGTCCGCCATCTTGAATTTGTCCTACCTTGTGATGCCGTCTTGTGGTTCATGTTCGAAAGTTGGAGATGAGATGTTTCGGCTGCCATGTTTTGTTCCATATTTCGTGCATCGGCTTATCCGGAGACGTTTTTCAAAAATCTCTCGGCATTCGACATGGGTTTTTCCAAGTTATATGTCGCGGTTCAGGATATCAAAATACACAGCGATCATCGCCGACTACAGGAAAACCTCTTACGGGCGGAAACACACCGTTCACCTCGTAGGGTCAAACGCCTATGTGAAAGTACCTTTGTCAACTCGCCTTCCTCTGCCACTCCGCGATCTGCACTATCACCAGCGTCTTCGACTCCGTCCGCGTCTTTGAGGACTCAAACTCGGAACCTCCGAAATGCCGCTTCACTGTTCGATCCGTGAATCTTCCAGAGCCTGTTTGTGAACCTTTGAACACCAAAGACCCACGGACCACTGAAAAGCGCCAGGGACCATGTAACTGAGTTCAGGCGCTCCCTACTAGTAAACAGCAACCCAAACCGATGAGCACCTCTAGTTCTGCTCCCACAGGTTCATCACTGATTTCGCTGAGGCGTCATGATCTCATCGTCTTCCGCGCACCAAAGAGGAAAACACTTAGATACATTATAATCACGAGGTTAAGTTCCTCCAGAGGCTCATCGATAGATTCTCAGATGTGGGTGAAGATGCTCTGACGAGAAAACAATTAGTCCGAATTGACAAGCAAAGTAATCAGTCATATCGACTTTCGAAAACCACCTTTGCTAATCGCAACATACCGCGGCTCATACTGTCTCGTCTCTTAAGGCTGAAAGGCATAGAGGTTCACATCCACTGAGACATAGAACCCGAGGACAGGGATCGTTTGCAGACTGTGTTCCTTGAACTCAAACGCCGTTCAGACGAAGGTGAGACTGATTTACACATGGTAAATTTTCGGGTGATCAAGAAGGGTGTACGAAACTGTATCAACCGGTTACTTAACCTTCAGCCACTTCCCGCGGTACCTCCCAAGACCTCCGTGTGGCATTCGCCAACTTGTGCAGCCTGATGGACAAACATGACGAACTGTATCGCTTCTTTGTCTCGGAGCGACCGGACGTCTTAGGACTTGCAGAGACTTGCTTGAACTCCGACGTCATACCCAAGGAAGTCGCCTTGTCAGGATACTCCGGTTTCCGATGCGACCGAAAATCAAAGACACAAGGTGGTGTTCTGTTGTACATCAACTCTTCACTATTTGGCACACTTATCAGTACCTATCTGAGCGAAGATAACCTATGCGAACAACTGTGGTGCTCGATCCGCCTCAGATGCGCAGAACTAATAGTGGGTGTTATCTACCGTAGCCCATTAAACCGTTGATACGATTGGCTACCACATGTACAGAAGCACATGAGCCGCCCTTAATTTCTGCTGATAGGGGACCTACATTTCCATAGGATGATCTGGCCAGACGTTCGGCTTCTTCCTACTCACGGCGTCGTTGAGGCTTAATTAGTAAAAAGTAACTATTGAAATCGCGTCAACGTAACATGTCGTCCAACGGACGCGCACAACTCCGCTCTTACCACCTTGTTTGGATTTAGTGTTTATGAGCTGCGAGCAGAATCTGTAAGAGGTCAGAGTCCTCGAACCTCTGGCGAACAGTGACCACTACTCCATCGTGACATGCATAAGACCGTCGCTACCTTGTTAAAACCAACGGAAGCCGACATTCAACTATTGGAAGACGGACTTCAACGGGCTCGTCCAAACTGCAAGTCAGAGTGATTTGACGCTGCCACACGATGCGTCTCTTGAACCTCGTCGATCATTAGTGAAGGGGAAACTTAACTCGCTGTGTACTCGGTTCGTTCCCCTGAGGTATTCTAAAGTCGGACCTGTGAAACCGCAATATATATATATATATATATGTATATACCTACGTAAATCAGTGTATAAATGTAAAAGGATTGTACATGATGGTTGTCTAGGAAAAAAGGGCTCTTCGCCGATCAATGAAATGTATTGAAATAAATATGTGCTAAACTATGGTCACACTGTCATGGATCCAATGTGTCTGTGTGTTCACCGTCATTCTCAGCACATCGATGAATGCGTCTCTCTAAGTGCGTGCTGAGATGCGTTGCAGAACATCTTGGGAAATCGAGTTCAATGATGCACAGATTGCAGCTTTAAGTTTTACTGTGTTGTTGTAACGTGTTTTTCCGATGTCTTCTTTCATCATGCTTCACAAAGCATTGTCGCATGATGAGAGGTCAGGACTGCGAGGTGACCATTGATGCTCTGATCCACGTCCATTCCACCGGCCAGGGAAATTCTCATCCAGGAGCCGGCGCACCGAGATAGCAAAATGTGCAGGGGCATCATCTTACTGCAGAATAGCTACATGTATGATTCCAGTTGAAACCAATTGTGGAATGAACCAGGTTTCCAACATTTCTCTGTAGGTGAACTGATTCACTGGATTTTCGAAAAAAATGGCCCAATAATTTTGGTGGCTGAAATTGCCGCCCACATGATAACGTGCGGTGGATTGCGGGCGATTTCTTCAGCATAGTATGGGTTAATCTTGCTCCATATATATATATATATATATATATATATATATATATATATCCTCATATCCCTACCACTATGGTTCCGATGCCACATTTGTCTGTTTACAGACTTGTGAATAAGTAAATAAATAAAATGCAATGGCGTCGCAAACTTTGGGATAGATACATCATCTCGGCTTGTGCGTGAGAAACGCACTTTAGCTGTTTTGCCCCGTTCATTACAGATGTCACAAAATCTTTTCAGCACTCAGCCGCACAGTCCTATGTTGTGCCCCATGGGTATTATATAACAATCATACTATTTTCTTTTGTAGCGTCAATGATGGAGGGGTCCGTACGCGGTACAAAATTCTCCTACTCAGCATCTGGTTGGGTCAATTCAGATGCATTTATCCAATGGTTTTTGAAGCACTTCCGTCTCTTGGTCTCACTTCGACCACTGATCCTCTTCTACGATGGTCATCTGCAGTTTGTAAGCGTCCGAGTTCTTGAACGTGCACGAGAGGACGACGTCTTCCTGTTCCCACTCCCGCCTCATCCGGCTTACAACCATTGTGTGGAAAACACATGCTTTTGGGCCTTTCAGGTATTTGTCACTCCTTGCACTCTCACCTATGGCACGAAGACTACACGTTTTTTCTGTTCAATCTGTCCGACTTCATCTATGTCTAGGTAAATCATATTGCTAACTCATGCTGATATTTGCACTCACCGGCGACTTTCGAACGTCAAATTTTTCTTCCGCACGCCTGGATATAGTAAGAGACTTCAACGTTTTGCAATACCCTTCTGTCATAGAGCTAGTGGCATAGCGTACACTATTCATCGTTTCATCGATGCACTAGTGTTTACTTTTTGCAATCCTTCACAGGGAGTTGATCATGATACTTATTCTTTGATTCTACTGCTAAACTGCAAGACTTGTTCCCATTTTAGACTGGTAGTTCTCAATCCTCAGAAGCGTAAAGGAATCGGTTCACAAGCTACACTTAATCACGTCATGGGGGCCCTCACAGTGAGTATTTATTGTCTCGTCGAAACCCACTCAAGGGACTCTAGAGCGATCATATGTGAATTAAGCGTCTGCAAAGTCCGATGGAAGCTGTACACTTGTTTTGATCTGCGAATACCGAGGCCGCTGGACATATCGGTATGGGGGCTTCATTGAACGCACTCACAGAGGCAGTAGGATTTGAGTAGATTCCCACCTTTAGTTAAACGTGTGCGATTCGATTAGAATACGCAATGCTTTCCTCCAGCTTCGGCGTTTGAAAACGCTGTCCATTCATTATAGTGACGTGTGCTCTCACGGACTACTCCCCCGACGTAGCCACAGATGAGTTCTGTCGTGAACGCTTCTTACTACAAAACGAGAATCGGTCGTCGTGTTGCTTGTCGGTAACCGAATTGCGCCACTGAGATGCGTGAGCAACACTTGACGCAGCGGTTAGGTCATTCGCTCATGAGGACCGTTTCCGAAGTGGATAAATTCCAGTTTTGTTCCTCCCAACATTGACATTCCACGACTGTTTTCGTCCTCTTTTGTATACACTTTAGGCCTGGGCTGAGATTGAAACCTGGAGGCCTGATGGTTGATGGCCAAGTTTTGATCATTGAAAGAAAAAGACATCAGCAGTACGTCGGTACTGCGTACCGACGCTTCTCTGTCGCACAACCACCATCGGTCGCATGCGGGTTAAGGATATTGCGAAGGTCGCTCTGACTCTACGCAGGCTCGACCTTAAGCAGTCAGATTAAGAGATAAGCTTGTTACCTTTAGGCTACGGGGCGACCATAAATCGTCAGCTATACGCTACAATGGCGTTTCGTTGTCGCGCGACCACCACCAGTCGCGCGCGGGCTGAGCATACTGCGAGGATGCCCGCCCCTACGCGTATCCGAACCGGTGACCTTACGATTGCAAGTTAGGCGCACAAACCACTCGGTTACCGGCCGACTAAAGGTATCAGCATTACGCTGGTACGAAGTACCGACGCTTCGCTACCGCGCAATGGCCACCAATTACACGTGAACTAAGGATACTACGAGGGTCGCCCTTCTGCGCAGGCTCGAACTTGAGCCGTCAGATTACAATACAAGCTCGTTACTTTAAGGCTACGGGCCACGGATATCCGTAAACAATGTTTGACACAGCGGTTAGGGTTTGGAGTACCCGCCGTATGTTTGCATTACAAGATGTAGTCATAATTAGGATCTCGTTTTACGCTAAAATAGACCCACCTTACCGATCACCTGGCCGCACACGAAGCGGATAGTTTTCGGTGTTGCTCGGTCTCGATACTGCACCTGACAATGGGTTTCATTTTTGTTTGAGACTATTCAGACAGCGAGAGGCGCAGGCAGAAACGGGACTCTAAACGTACCGGTTGTCGGCTGAGACCTTGTTTACGAAGACATCTTTATCTCCTTCTAACAGTTCAGCTTCAAACTCCTTGTGACAAACGCCAGACCAGGTAAGAAAAACAAAAACCTAACTCGGCGAGTGGTGGACCGGCTTGTTTGGCACCTACTCAAACCAATGCAACGCATTCAGTTTTATTTGTTAGACTGTCACACTGCTTGTGCTATCACTGACTATTTCTCTCTCACACATCCTTATCGTTGCGGCGACACTGCATCACCCGACGTGCAGGTCACGATAACAAAAACTCTGAAGCCACCTGAGATCTTCTGGCCGAAGAGCCATGCTTCAATGTCGTATGCAATCTTTGGGAACAAAGGTTCCACAAGTGCATGAAGGCCATTCTGGTTTTTTCTGTGCCTCAGCAGTCATAGGCCAAAATTGCTGACGCAGTTGTGGTGATATGTGTATTGACTGGTCACTTCTAATTCCTCGTCACCGAGGATCAAAGGTCTAGCGGGTGGTGGGGGGTATTGTAACAGCACACTGCACTATGAACCGCATGCTAAGTGATAGGAGTATATGAATGTCCAATTGTGCCGTCTCACGTTTGTTAAACACCAAGGCGATGTCATCGGTATAATCCAGCTTTAGGAGTTTTCCTCCGGATAGCCTGTCGATACCTCCCACAGGGTAACACTTTTGATTGACTTTATGGTAGAATTGAATGGAAAGGGGTTAACTCAGACGAATACAATTTATCGTCGGAAGCCGTAAAACGACTCGCCGTATATCATAACATGACTCCTGTCGTTCAACCGCAGGTCACGCAATATGTTCACTCATCTCATGGGTACACCACTCTCATGGCTAATTTGTCAGAGAGGACGGCGCACTTTTTAAATGGACAGTCTCAGATGGCGTCGGCTTGCGATACATGTGAGGATAAGATGCGTTCTTTGTGGTTCAAACCCTGACAAAAATATGATTGTTCTCTACTGCGTTACTTCTGTTCCGTATTGAGAAGGCAGGCGAGGGTCAGCGGCATTTGTTTCACTGGATTTTGCCAAATGGATTGGATCAAGTACGCAGCGTTTCGGTCCACATACCTCGTTGCAATTCCCGACACCCCTGGTCTCGCGGAATTGTCGTACATTTTGCAGTTTTGCCTGAGGTCACTCGATCTAAATTTATACATATTACCAATATGTAATTTTTCCTGCTGGGCCGTTGCTGCGCAAGCAGTTATTTTTAAGCGGAAAGCAGTACACTTAACAACCGGATTGGTCGCTTTTGTCCCAAATCATCGATGAAGATTATTTTACTCTCCGACGTTCTCCCTCATAGTTTCTGTTATTCCATTCGTGTAGATATTGCGTGTAACCTAATACATATGCCTATCCGTTTATTGCACTGTGTCGTTTTATTACATTCTTCGAACGCTGACTGTGGAATTCTTTCTTTTACTTTGTAAACACCGTTTTAACTCTCTGATATTATTTAAAATTGGACATCTACACCCATGTTCTGTATAGTGTCTTTACATCGAAGATGTGCCCTTAGCTTGTTCGCATGATCGGCCGACGCGCTGACAACTTCCCACCACTTGATACTTTGAAGTGCACTTTCAGCTCTTTCCAATTACTCCACCAAACACTGGACCGAATCCTTAAGGATCACAAGTCCGCATTGTAATCCGAGAGCGCGGATTCGAGCCCGCTTATGGACTGGACAACTCTCGCAGTATTCTTAGCCCACGTGCGACTGGTGGCGGTTGCGCGGCAGCAAAGCGTCGATACTGCGTACCGACGTACTGTTAATGTCTTCTTTTCGCGTAATAACCCCAACAAAGCATCAGAATTACGTCGGCACACCGTAGCGACACTTTGCGGCCACGCAACCACCACCGGCCGCACGTGGACTGGGTACACTGTGTGGTCACCCGTACTTACGAGAATTTGGACCGGTGACCCCCGGATTACAAAGCAAGTGCGCAATCCTTTCGGCCACCGGGTGACAATGACCCGGTACCAATCTGTCTACCAGGCCTTGCAAAGATCTTGATACCTCACGGTCAGCTGAGATAGGTTACACATTTCAGGGCGCGATTGGTTGCATTAGTGAATATGTTACTGCTTTCTGTTTTTCACCAGACTCGCCCATTTCTCCATTGTTGTCCATTCATCGAGGTGTTTTCAAGCCCGGTTAACATACCATCTCTCGAGCCGCATCAGCGCTTTCTGGAATCACACCGATCTCCTTCATTCCGTTTATGGAAATTCCATGTTTTGAAACTTGATGATACTATCATGAAATCTGACCATCTGTTAGATACAACGTTTCTTGAGGCTATCATTCGGCTTCTTTCAACGGAACTCCTCAACGATATATCTTTCCATGGTTTGTTGCGACTAACTGTTGGCACCACACAGACATACTGTCGACTCTGACTTTTGGCAACTAGAAAACTCTAAACTTCTTGTCTACTTCCGCTTTATTATCTGCAGATCTACTTCAAGAAACGGTTAGATCGGTTTTTTGAACAAAATCCAAATCAACCACTAATACGAACAAACGCCGCACCCGTACTCACGCATGCGTATGAGAAAGCGCTTCAGCCCACGAATATCGTCCAGCTGTTCGAACGTTTGGGCATATGTCCTTTCAACAACCTTTCCAGTTCCATCGGAGCCTACCTAAACATGGTTTGTCATCGATCACCTACTTTCCCGTTGATGCTTTCGCACGTATTCACATTCATATAGGTTTTCTCGATCTAAATATCATCGTCAGTTTATACTTAAGCGTTATCCTGCTCTGTACGTCTGGTATACCTCGTATTTATCGTATTCTGCCTACTGCTTCATCCGCTTGACTTATCCGTCCCACTATTTGATGCGCGGTTGTTGGTGTGTCTTCTCATGTTTCACTTGGTCGTCAATAATCAAGTTGTCTTCAAACCCTCGAAGCTCAATGGGACTGGTACTTGTCGCCTCTCCATTTACGAGTATCTAGAGATCCACCCCATCAGTGGTCAGATAGCCTTACAGATGAGGTGTAGTCACGGAATTTTTAGGGTCAACATTCGGATCTTTATTGCTGGTCCTTACTCGTCCCATCGGATATTTCCTCCCTCGTTCTTTCCTGTGTGCTTATTGATATTATTATTATTATTATTATTACTGCACCTCAGTGCATGAATCTTAGTTTATAAACTGAACACCGATCTTCATTCTGCAGTGGATAACGGCCACACGCTGGACGTGCTTTTCGTCGACTTTTCGAAGGCATTTGACAAGGTACCCCATTTGAGGCTCGCGCAAAAGCTGTCCTCCTACGGGGTATCTGGCCGCGCCCTTCATTGGGTGACTGCCTTCTTGGAGGGTAGAGAACAATGTGTACGGGTAGGCCGGGGTCTGTCATTTAGGCAGTCTGTCCTCAGCGGCGTGCCGCAGGGCTCGGTCCTTGGACCGCTGTTGTTCTCTATCTATGTGAACGACCTACCCACGGAGCTTGAGGTACCATCGCTGCTATTTGCTGATGACCTGAAGCTGTGGAACATTGTTGATGTTCCTGGGGGTTCCGAAGCTATTCAGCGAGCATTGGATAAGCTTTGGGACTGGTCTACTTTATGGTTACTGCCCATAAATCAGGCAAAGTGCTCCGTTCTTCGAATTGGAGGAGGTTGTCCTCTTGCGAAGTACTTGGTCGGTGGGGTCGAACTCCCCCGTGTATCTAGCCAGGTTGACCTAGGCGTCGTACACTCTTCGGCGTTACACTCCGGTGACAACTGGAAGAAGGCCGCAAGCAGAGGTTTCCGCATGTTGTGGTTAATCCGACGTTCTTTCGGAGTCTTGACGGGCGGCATCTTTACGAGGCTGTTCTCGGCTTTCGTTCGCTCTCATCTGGAATACTGCGTCCAGGCTTGTCCGCCCTGCCTCGTCCGGGACAAAATGGAGCTAGAGAGGGTTTTACGAGTGGGTACTAGGTTAGTCGAGGGATTACGGGGACGGACGTACCCCGAGCGTCTACTTAGTTTGGGAATGCATTCAATGCACTACCGAAGGCTTAGAGGAGACCTAATCCTAACCTACCGTATCTTGACTGGGAAGGTTGGTCCAGATTTGTCTTGGCTATTCAGTCCCGCTAGATTGTCTGTTCTACGCGGTCATTCGTTGAAGCTGGACAAACCGCGGTCCGATCGGATTAGGGCGGAAATCCGGCTGTCACGCCGAGTTATCGACCGCTGGAACATGCTTCCGGAAAGTGTTATCAGGGAATCTACGGTTAAGGGGTTTGAGCGGCAACTTGACGCTCTTGGGTGGCAACACGAAACCTTTCCATTTTCCTGAGTAACTCACATCTTCGTACTTCGATTTTCTTTTCTCTACTTTTCTTCACGTATTGGTATTATTTTCTTATTTAAGTGCACTTCCCTATTCTGTACCTTCGATTTCTCTTCCTATCCTTTGCTTACTTCACGTGACTGCCACAGCAGGGACTGCTAGGGCAGGAAACGTGGGCATTAACTGGTTGGCCAGGGTGCGATACGGGTGTTTCCGTTTTAGATCCATCAATAACTGAGCACTTCATCAATTCCTGGCTCAACGATCCACTCAAGATGGAACACTCACGGAATTTTCCTATCGTTCCAGTCCCCATCTGAACTGAACTGAAATTATTTGGTTGGGTTCACGATCTGAGATAATTTCTGTAGCCGCAAGTAGAGCAACCAAATACCGTTATGTATAACGATCCACCGTCGTCAACAACATTAAATCAGCCATTTGAACTGATACTTCACTGTCGAACAAACATGACCCTGGGGTATACGGAAGTATAAGGAGAAGAAGAGACTTAGACACCACAAGGCACCTACACCTTGTCAACGACATGCGGTCACAAACAGCTAGGCATTGTGAAAAGACAAGGCTGCATCGGTGAGCCAGGTACTTTGCGGCTTTCGCTGCTCCGCGCCCTAATCAGCCATTGCTCCGCAGATAACGGCACGAGACACAATTTGTGCAGGCAACTCGGCTAGAAAACGACAGCAAACATGCTGTTGAGGCCGGCTGCTAGCCATATCCTGTAACATCCCGAGCCAGACACAAAGTGGTTTGTCTGTATCCAATCTGAGAGGCGAGATGGACCAATAGCAGATGATCTGTATTGTCTTGGAATTCCCTAGTTTCGTTTGACGACTCAACTGAGCCATCCACGCCCTCAGCTGCATCCTTCATGTGCAGTATGTTCACTTCGGCTACAATTGCGGTTGACCAATGAGGCTGTGCGTTACTCTATAGGTTTCTGCTCCAGAGCCACTCTTTGTTAGCTTGCTTGTTCTACCCTTGACTCTCACTTGAATACTTTGTCTCGCGCAAGCACTTGGGGCTTCAGTATAGTTGTCGTAGATCAAGTTTATTCTCACTCGTTTTCCTATTGGCTTTCCAAAGTAGAGACATATTTCCACGACTCAGGCTCTTTTATGCGACATTTCCGGCTTTCACGCACGGTAATCTTGCTTATCTTTGTTTAGCGGCGATAACATACGCATGAATTGCTTCCTCATGACGCTTCACTCGTGCAACTGTCGTTTGCTCGAGGCTTGTTTTATCGCGATTACCCGTCGTAAACCAAGATGATGGATTTGAGAACCTTCTCCGATCGCCAGCATGGTGTCTGCTACCTCATAGTTTTCTAAGTGAAACACTCTTTTTTATTAACGTTTGCTGTGTTCCATTTTTCTCACTTTGCGGTCTGAGACATTTTGATTGTTTCAGGAAAAAATGACATCTTTCTTTGATTATAATGATCATTTGACGCATTTTCCTTCTTTAACCCAGATTGATTTGTTCCGTTTTTAATCCAGCCAGAGGATTATGACCAAATGGGCTTACCTAGTGAGAACCTGGACCCACAAATGTTATACGATGGATTCAACCAGTTAATTCCTTGGGCAAAACCTCCAATGAACTATGTGCACCACTCCGCCCTCCCATTCCGGCCCCCTATGATGAACAACGGAGAAACGGGGGAGCATTCGATGAGCCTCCACTCCGGACAAACCGTATCCCCATTGATGACTTGTGTTATACCAGAACAATTTCATGGTACGTCTTTCCTGTTCCCCATTGTTTATGCTCCACCTTTGTGTACTGTAATCGGGGAACCAATCCACTTCGGTCTTTTGAACAATGAACAATGATTTGTAACGGGTAAAAAAGCATATGCTTGACAGGTCCCGTAGGGTGGTTGGAGCAATAGAGAAAATGGAAGGATAATCGAACAAGTGAATCATTTTTTAAGCCTCTACAGATTTCAACGCACCACTTCATAATGATAGTTTGAAGTATGGACTGGATGTCTGCACCCAAAGTAGAGCTGTTATATTACAGCAAATGTGGGAAAAAGAAATCAAAGGAACGGATAACGCTCACTCGTGTGTTGCTTCCGTTGAGAGATGTGGTATGTTACTCCTGTTTGTATACATCCATGTCGCTCATTGGGACACTTCTGTATGTAACATCACCGCCACTTTGCGGGGAGGGTCAGTAACCTTATGGTTTGGGTCTCGTTATTTCGTCCTCCGAATTAGGACGTGCTGTGCCAAATAATGCAAGTTGGAAAGTGTGTCATCTAGGCGTTTTTTAAATAGTGCCAATGTGGGTCAAGGACGACGTGAGTGGGGAGCGCATTCCAAGCACGGGACACACGGAGTGAGAAAGGGTTTCGTCGACAATCAAGTCGGCTGTAGTGTGTAGCCAGTTTGAGCTGATGACCTCTCAGGTTGGTATTTTGGCTCAGCTGCAAGAGACTGCGACATGGGTGATTTGGATTCATCAGTATTAAGTAGACCATGATGAGGTCTCCTCGGTGACGGCGATATTCACCACTGTACCATCCCAGAGACTGCAGTCTGCGTTGGTAGGGGATGTGAAACAGGCCTCTGGCGAGCTTCGTTGCTCTACGCTGTGGAGCTTCAAGTGCACTGATGTCGCGCTTGCGCCAGGGATGCCAGGCCTGGATCGCATACGCCACGTGGGGTCTCACGTAAGCGCTCAGAAATACAGATAGCTCGAAATTTCCGAAAGCTCTCCGTAAGAGTCCGAGATGTTGACTGGCCCTTTTCGATGCCTTTTCAGCTTGTCTGGAGCAGCCAAGGTCGTCCTGCACGATCACTCCAAGGTCGCATTCCTGGGAAGCATGTTGCAACGGCTGGTCCCCAAGTAAGTATTCATGGATGAGCTGGTGGCGTAAGCTCACGACTTTGCCCTTGGCGACATTGAAGTGGAGCATGTTTTCGGATGACCAAGTGAACGCCCTGTCCAGATCGCTCTGCAGTGTTGCGTGATCGTCCTCTGTCCGGATGTCATGCCAAATTTTGACATCATCTACAAACAGCAAGAAGTTCGACTGTGGTACACTGGCAAGGTCGTTAATGAATGTTAAAAATAAACGTGGCCCCAGTACTGACCCTTGTGGCACACAGCACTGGACGTCAATTGGGTCCGACATGGAGCTGCGGACTCTCACATTCAGCTGACGTTGAGTGAGAAGGTTGGCGATCCAACCAAGCACAGGGTCACCGATTCCGTAGCCTCGAAACTTGTGTAGGAGGATGCGGTGGTCCAAACGATCGAACGCCTTCGAGAAGTCCAGGTAGACAACGTCGACTCCAAATCTAGCATCAGCTGACTCCGTCCAGCTTGCTCGGGCCAGCAACAAGTTTGTAGTGCAGGATCGATTTCGGCGGAATCCGTATTGCTGTGGTACTATGATATTGTTGTTCTCCAGATATCCCGTCAGCGCCTCCGCAATTATACGTTCCATTACTTTGGATAAAACTGGGAGGAGAGTGATTAGACGGTAGTTCGACGGCTCCGCACGATTACCGCTTTTGTAAATGGGAGTGACTATCCCATGTTTCCACATTGTGGGAATCAGCATTTCGTCAAGACAACGTTGAAAGAACCGAGCTAATGGTTCGGCAATGTTTAGGGCCGCTGCCTTCAACGCCTTCGGTTTAATATCGTCTACGCCTGGCGAGCTATGCACACGCAACGACATTAGCGTTTTCAACACATTGGTTGCCGTGAACGATACGTTGTGTAAACCTGGGAACGGTGAGAGCTCTGTCAAAATCGGGTGAAGGGATGGTTCACTCCGGAAAGTATGGAGGAAGTGTTGACGAAACACGTTGGCCGCGTCCTGTGCAGTTTGCGCATGACCATCTGTTGCACGCAAGACCGGGATCCCGCGCTGCACTCTACGGAGTTTGTTGATATGTCTATACAACAGCTTTGGATTTTCGCTGAATTCCGCCGCTAAGTTCTGTTGGTGCTGGAGTTTGTCTTCGCGAATCAACTTGACGCAGTGGTTTCGTTGAGTTGTGTAGACTCCCCAGGTCAGATTACTTGGGCAAACTTTGTAAGCGTGCCAGGCCGAATCCCTTAAGCCCATAGATTTTCTCGCACGGCTTCTTAGGAACGAATCCACTTGCTTCGGGCGAAAGGCCTTGCGTGCTGATGCATTTGCCACTAGCTCAGTGAATTTGGTGACAAACACCATCCAAGCCTCATCGGGCGGATTCTCGGTCAGGAAGGACCAGTTGGTGTCTTGAACAAGGTTAGACAAGATGTCGTAATGTGTAACCATATAAGTTTCCTCGTCGTTCTCTCTAACTTACTCCGAATAACAGATGTAACGAAAGTGCAACGTCGCGTGATCACTACGACCTAGTGGTGTAGCTATGGTAACGGTGTCAATCATTAGTTCCTCGTTGGTGAGCACAAGGTCCAAGACAGAGGGGGTGTCACCCGTTCTGAAACGAGTGGGGGAGGTGACATTGTTATACAGTGGTACATTGGTAATCGGTTCTTGCAAATCAGCCTTGAACTGTTCGCTGGGCGATGCTGGAACTTCGAGTGCGTGCAGATTGAAGTCCCCCACTAGAAGAACGTGACTGTGTGGACGTGTCAATACTCGTTTCATCGCAGCAGCAGGGCGTTGATCCATTTCCAAGGTAGGCATTGGAGGACGGTAAACTATTGCTAGCAAACACACATCGCCACGTCTCAGGTGCATACGACACCAAAGAGAATCGTTGATGTTTGCTTCTGAGTCATCAATGATCTCAACATGTAGGTCGGATCGATAATACAAAAGCACTCCGCCTCCTCTGCTGGGCCGATCTTTTCGTAATGAACTCATGCCAGGTGACGCAATCTCGGCATCCGCGATTTCCGTGCTCAGCCAGGTTTCGGTGACCATAACTAGGTCCCAGGGCGTGGAGACCTGGCGAAATCGAAGTTCGGTTAGCTTGCTGAGAAGACCTTGTGCATTAGTATAGAAGCAGGTGAGGGCATCGGTGTTTAGAAGAGTGTTTGTAGATTCTGGTTTTCGGTTGGAGTTTACGCCGACCCTTGTGGGGTCGGCTGCCGGTAGTTTTTTTGTAGGACCGATGCTGCAGACTCCACTTTAGCAACCTTTTTTCTCTATTCGAATCACCGTTGAATACTCCGCGTTACTAAGACAAATGGGTCAGACAGCTCTACACTCGATCGGGAAGAGTAAACCTGATCATGATGTTAACCAATGTGGTTTCTCAGAATTTAGTTTCATATATATATATATATATATATATATATATATATATATATTGCAACAGTCTATGAATAGACATTGAGCCATCGGAAACCATGGAACTCAAAACAAGGTACAGAAATAGTAAAAGAAGACACAACACAATACATCAAAGTTCATGGTTTCGTCAGAGGGCGAGATATTACCCGGTTGCCCAAGCCGAAGTATGGTGTTGACTTAGGGGACACCAGCCCGAGCCTTTGGCTGAATAGCCTGCCCGCAAGGCAGCGGAGCGAATTCAGGGAATCGCGCCCATTGGGAGCCGGTGACTGATTGATCCGTTCACACGCCTTTCGTTTGTTCCTTTGTCAAACAAGGGCCCAATGCTCCCTAGAATTACAGCACAAACTTGCTGGAATACAATGCTTCGCCAGGATGAAGCAAGGGGCAGTGACTTTATTTAGTGGCGAGTCACGTCCGCCACGTCACAGTGTTGTTAGACGGACATATGTGACTTTTTATAGGGAGAACGCTTGCCAGGCGAAAACCCACCACGTCCTGGAACACTGCCGCCGAACCATTTGCTGGAACGGGAAAATCCCGAACCACCCAGCTGGCACCACGAGGAGGTTGTTCGGCAAGCGAGCCAATTTAGTTTCATACTTTTAAAATTTAGTTCCATACTTTTAACTTGTAATATGCCCTCGAATTCCCAACGTTTCGTTACTATCGGGCGCGACATCCTTAATGCGGATGTTGCCAAATGACTTGGCCAGCTTGTAATGGTAGTGATTCTGTTTAAATTACCCAGCAAGCGGGCGACCTTTACGAATATTTCCTCAGTATCAGAAATTACTTGGGATTGTCATTCGCTCTCATTGGCTGGTTTCAAAATCGTACACTCTCACTGGCCCTTGGCAAACCGACTTCCAGTGCCGCCATTCTAAAGCTGTAGCTACTATGTAGCGATGGATGATTCTTGCGAGCGATCCACCGTAACTGATATTCTGGACACTTGCCTACTTTTCTAATTTTTCCCCAGTTTGTACCCCATGTTTTGTTGTCTCCGTGACCCAGTTAACCCCGTTTCTTACTTGTCCAATTGTTATGTTATTACACCCGTCTGTGTCACATGTATTCATTCCCAGGCCTGACGAATCAAGGCCCGGTTGCTTCCATGGTCCCTCTTGGACCATCTGATGGGAAGCTGCAGCGGACAGTTGTAACAGCGGTCTCATCGTCTGGGAGATCTGTCACCTTTCGATTGCATGGCCCCGCTGCTGCTACAGTGCATCCACTTGTGTGCAACAACAACAATAATGGAACCACTACTATCTTTCCATCTACTTCGACTGCAGTCGCAGCAGTGAATAGACCAATTAGCGCGGCAAATGCAGTCACGGTAAGTCCCCTATCTAGCGGATTATCCTATCTAGACCCTAACGCCAACAAGGTCCCCCACCTATGGGGAATTTTCTCGCACGACGCACTCGGTTTGCTGTTAGCCAATAGTCGTTTGCAATTTGGTAAAAAAGATTTCCATTCTGTTCTCAGAGTTGGTGTTAATTCCATGTCTAGTCAGAAAATCGGTCTTTAAACACCGAGCATAAGTATTTAGTAGTCACGAATTGCTTTTCTCCTAGTGACAGTTTAAATAGCCTCTGCCCAAATGCTCCTTTTCCTTTCCAAACGTTCATTCATATTTGATGAGCATAA